CTGCCCTTATCTTCCCCTTCCTAATTCCCCTGTAACCACCATCTCTCCACCTGACCGAGGTTAGGTGGGAACTGCCTGCATAACAGTCTCTTACTGAACCTAAGATGTTCTGGTTGGTTCTATGGCTTCATAGTGACCACCTTACTGATGGTCCGGTCTAGAGGAATCTCCGGACAGGGCTCCGACGCGGGAACCATGGTGGGTGAGTACGATCCATTTGTGAATTTTGTGAAAGTGACATGTGGCCAAGTATGGTTACCCATACTAGGAATTAGTGCTCTGCGTTTATCCCATCCTAAGTGCACACACACAGCAGTGAACACTCACAGGTCACAGGCTTCTGCGGGAGCCTTCTTGATCATCAGGCCCCCGGCACGGCACTGCAAAATTTCCTGGACATCCGGGCTGGGCTTATGCGTTCAGGCTGCCTTCAAAGGCATTACTTGCAGCAGGGTGTCGGAAACAACAATTCCTTTTTCAACAAGGCTGTTTACGAGTTTCTCATATTTAAGAAACACCACCACTGCCTTGTTCATTCTGGAGGCTGATACTATATTTTCGTGCCCTACAAACTCACCCATTGCCAGAAGCACGTCTTCTACCGTAACCGCTTGATCCGAGAAAACTTTACATCCATTCCTGATAGAGAACCCCGGCGTTCCCTCACCTGAGAGAGACGCCATGGCTTCCCTCATCAAGGAAGGAATCACACCGGTGTTTTTCTTAAACTAAAAAAAAATAAACCAAAAACGTGATAAACTAAATTCCCCCCTAAAAAAAAAAAATCTAAATAGAAAAAAAGAATTTAACCTTGAAAACCAATTCAAGCGTGCCGCTCTCACACCCCACACCACGCTTCCGCTCCCAGCATGCAATCCACACACAGAGAGAGAGAGAGAGAGAGAGAGAGAGAGAGTGAGTGTGTGCTGGGAATAAGTGCAGTTCTTGATGAGTGTGGTAATGAAATATGATTAAACTCAGAGGAGAGAGAACAATGTAGCCGTGACAGTAATCAGGAAATATAAGATGATCTGTAAAGTTCAGAATCCATTAACTATTTACTGGAAGATTTGTTAATTTACTATGTCACTGTCTTCCTCAATAGCCCCCCCAAAAAAAATACATAATGATTTTCACATTTTCTCTATTTACAGGTTCTGGATTGGGCTGTGAAGCTCTGCATGGTATTAAAGCACCTGCATGATCAACAGATCCTACATAAAAACTTGCAGCCATAGGTACAAATTTAGTTAATGCACAATTAATGCATACAATGAAAATGTACTTCCGTTTTCTAAATTCATGTTTACAGATTTTATTGTGAACAATTAATTTGAGCATAGGTTTATTTATTTTTGTAATGCTTAATCAGAGTGTCATAACTGAAGCTTCTGGTGAAATAAAATGCTTCTGTCACAGTTTTAAAACTAGCTTAACTGCACTTTTAAAAGCAATGTAAAGTTTGTTGTGAAGCTGATAAATAATTAGATTTATGCATCTAACTTAGTGTCACGGTCTGTCATGGAAAACTCGGGAAAGCATAGAAGATCCAAATGCAGTTTATTAGTCCCAAAACAAAGAAAAAACAGAGCAAAAACACTGGCAAGAGGTATAAAATCACAAACACAGATCCATAAGCAAAGAAACAGAAGCAATACTGCAGCAACAAAACACTAAATGAGCATGGTATTTATATCACAGTGAGCTAATGGGTAAATGATCAACAGCTGGAGGTAATGAAATAATCAGTGCAAGGGGTGATGGGAACTGAAGTCCAGAACAAAACAAACAATGGACAATGGACCCCCCACTTAAGGAGCGGATTCAAGACGCTCCAACAAAAGTCAAAGAAATCCAGGAAGGAGGCGGACCAAGGGGAGGGATGGCGGGCCAGGCCCATGTAATGGAAGAGGGCCTGGAGACACAGGTAGAGCAGGCAGCCAAGGCGGGGCCGGCAGGGTAGGCAGCCAGGGCGAGACAGAGAGTTCACAGGCAACCTCCTTGGTCGTGACGGGACAGTTAAGAGTGCTCACAGACGACCTCCGTGACTGTGACAAGGCAGGCAGAAAGTTCATAAATGGATGCCCGTGCTTTGAGAGGAAATGAAGCAAGCACCGCTGCCACCTCTGGAGGAACTGGAGCGGGTCCTGGAGTGGACTCTGGAAGCTCCCGGACTGGAGCGGGCTCTTGAGGGGACTCTGAGTGGTCCCGGACTCTCGAGCGAACTCTGGAGCGGACTCTGGAGTGCTCCCGGACTGGAGCGGGCTCTTGAGGGGACTCTGAAGGCTCCCGGACTGGAGCTGGCTTTTGAGTGCACTCTGAAGTCTCCCGGAATGGAGTGGGTTCTGGAGTGGACTTTGAAGCAGCCCAGGCCCGCAGAACAGCCATAAAGTGAAAGGCAAAGACGGCCTTCTTGATTATGGCAGCAGCATTGAAATCGGGCAGCTCTGTGGTCCTTCAGGACCACCGACTTGGGACCACCAGAGTCGGGTCCTCCAGCCTCCAGGACCACCGGACTTGGGACCACCAGGACCACCGAATTTGAGCCCACCAGAGTCAGGTCCTCCAGGACCACTGGACTTGAGCCCACCGGAGTCAGGTCCACCAGGACCACCGGACTTGGGACCACCGGAGTCGACTTTGCTGCCCTCCTCCTTCTCACCGGCATAGAAATCAATGGAGGTTCCAGTACTTGACACGAGCGGTGGGGATGGAATAGTCCCTGAAGCTGGACTCTGATGGTGGTGTCTCACCTTCCCCTCTAGACGAAGCTGCAAGTACCGGGAGAAGTTCCAGAAGTCCAACGACCTTACCCGATCCATCTCCCATTGCTGTAAGTGTTTATCCAGAGAGAGGTTGAATATGTGCTTAATGTCCTCGCCCTGACAACCCAGCCTCTCCGCCCTGGTCCAAAATTTCTGGGTGAAAACCCCAACTGCCACTCCCTGCTGGCGAAGTGCAGCCAGACTCTGAAGACGGCTGTCCATAGTCTAAAAATTGCTGGATCTTGTAATGGCTGCAGTATTCTGTCACGGTCTGTCATGGAAAACTCAGGAAAGCATATAAGATCCAAATGCGGTTTAATAGTCCCAAAACAAAGATAAAAAAACAGAGCAAAAACACTGTCAAGAGGTATATCACAAACAAAGAATCTATAAACACAAAGAAACAGAAGCAATACTGCAGCAACAAAAGACTAGTTGAGCATGGTATTTATATCCTAATGGGTAAATGATCAACAGCTGGAGGTAATGAAATAATAATCAGTGCAAGGTGTGATGTGAACTTAAGTCCAGAACAAACAAACAATGATCCAGAAGTGTGCCCTCTGGGGCTGTCAAGGGCACAAGAGCCACTGGCTGTGACAAATAGGACATTAACCTGCTTCGTTCTGGTCGTGTGATTTCTATAGACTTCTTAGAATGAGAGCAGCAGAACACAAAAATATCAAATACAACAAATGTTTAGAAATCAAATGATAATTAAATTACACACACACACTTACATGCTTATAGACAGAATATAGAATATACTGAAAAAGGCAAATTTCAGAAATTTCAAAACTAGGAAAGTCATATGAATCATATTAATCCATTGAGGCAAGACAATCCCAGGTGATTAGGGTAAATAATAATAATAATACCATTGTAATGTCTGATTACTTTTCTTAGGGAATTAATTATTATTAATTCATTCAGGTTTTGAGAGGACTCGAATCTGAAAATTCGAAGTCAACCTGATTAGAACTGATTTCAAATTTTAATAGTTTACACCTTATCAACAGTCGTCCAGTGAGACGTTAATGTCCGTGTATCTTAACAATCTGAAAATTCGCCGTCTCCCTGATTAGAACTGATTTCAAATTTGAATAGTTTACACCTTATCAACGGTCGTCCAGCGAGCCGTTAATGTCCGTGTATCTTAATCTGTGTGTATTTTCCTTGGCCACAGGTCAATACAATTATGATAATTTGTAAGCTCCTAGCGAGGTAACGTGATCTTGGCAAGGTTTGACTTTAAAATTATACGACACCAGACAATGATTCTTTATAAATGAAACACGAATTTATTGGCTATTCTAGATTACATGAAACTAAGCTAAAACACACATACACACACACATACATACAGTTCTGAAGAATGAAAATGATGTTAACGGAGTTCTGAGGAAAGCCCAAAGTTTTAGCAAGATATTCGCTACAGTTCTCTTACTTGCAACCTGAGAAAATCACAAAGCAGAGATTTGGCTTATGTTTACTGCTTAAAATTAGCTCGGCACCAGTTCAGCAGAGATAAGATTTTGTTCGTTTACTTGCGTTTTGGGTGACAGCTGAAAAGCTGAATGGTTCCTCGTGGCTGCTGGAGGGAATTCCGTTGCTGATTGGCTGTTGATCTGGCGCCTGAATGACATTTGGATGACGTCCTTTTGGGAGAGCCCTCGTTGGATTGGTTGGTTGCCGGGTTACGGAGGAGCCTCTGGCAGTTCTTCTGAGACAGTCTACGTTTGCAAGACTTTAAGTTCTGCAGAGTTACGAAGCTTCAATGGAGTAGTTGAGTTCTAGATGGTCGATCGCCTGATGGTTCAGCTCCTGAGGTCATGCCCATGTCACGAGTGTATGTCTGCCATTCTTCTCGCTCGGACATGGAGCTATAAAATTGTCTCTTTTGTTGACGGGATTATCAATTTATTTGTTAAATGGTCATGGGTATCACGCATCTGGTGCCTGAAAGCCTGTAAAACAAAGATAGTTTGTATCCTAGATTGAGTTAGGGTTTAAGCAGTTCAGATCCCCCTAAGGGATAAGGACCAGGCCTTGACCGGAAGCAGGTCCAGACAATTAGGTGCCCTGTTGATCATTGATCTTCTTTACGACCGCAGATAGCTGGGGAGGAGAGTCTTTAATTTTTCCGGTGGAATGCGGAGATTCAGTCGTTCATTTGTGCGATATTCGCAGAGGCCTTACACCATACTTCCCAGTTGATTTTTTTAATTAGACATTTTCTGAAATGTTATATTTAAATATGCAAATGATGCATTATATAATTAAATGTGCACTAATTTGCATTAATTTCTAGGACAAAAATCAGAACATTGGATAAAGCCAGGTTCAACATTTAATTATATAATTGCACCTGGTTCAAAAAAATTTTCTTGTTTCATTTTGTTGATATATGAAAATACTTTAAACGAAAAAAAAAAGTTCTCGTTTCATTTTGTTGATGTATGAAAATACTTTCAACAGCCAGACAATTTTCAATGTACACAATTTTTTTTAGGAGTAAAATAGTGTATAAAATCAGACAAAATATCAAAAATCTCATTTTGAGAAAGTGGCCTTGTTGTGTTTGAAATCTACAGATGCAAATAGTCGAAGTGCAACAAAAGAAACACCTAAAAGTGTATTTTAGAAGTTATCTTGTCACCATTCCGGGAGTGAAATAAACAAAGAAAAAAAAAACAGTATTTCTGATGCGTGTAGTGTCTTGCCTTAATTGTTTTAAACTAATACTGCTGCTATAACTATATCTTCCTAAAGGCGTATGTTTTCTTATGGCAGAGCATATTTTTCACTGCATGTGAAACCATTCGCCTCGGAGAGTTTGGAGTGATTCGTGAATGGTACTGTATGTGCTCATTTAATTCAAAACATGACTCGTCAAGAACTATTCAACATGTACTACATGGCATACTGTTGAGTCCAAACACAGTGATCTATAACATGTATTTCTCTTTCTGTTTCTGTCAGGTCCACTGATGCACAAACAGCAGAAACTGAAGCGCTCTCATACATTGCACCTGAGATTTTGAGTGGCGAACCTTACGATGAGAAATCGTAATAAAAATAATACATTTCTGATATTTATTCTAGTGTGACTAAACAGTTTCCATAGCTGAATACTGAAACTCTAACCTTTATAATCTTCTCTTTTTTTACAGAGAAATATGGAGTCTGGGCTGTATCATCTATGAGATGTGCATGCTGAAGTGTGCTGTAAGATTGTTCTTTCATTAGATATTGAGCATGTTTAGATCAATGTTAAGCTTTAAAAAAATAATAATAATAATAAAATAAAATACAATACACTTTTATTTTGTAATATAGATATACTGCAGGTTACTCTCATTGAGACAATCAACCACTCAACTAGATATCATTTGATGCAATGATATCAAAATTTCAGTCAGTAAATTCTGTTTCCAGGGGCCTCATTTCTAACCGTTGCGTATGCACAAAACCTGCCCTGAAAGAGGCATACGCCACTTCCTACGCAAAAGGTGGGATTTATATAAAACAAAATTGATGGGAAAATTTGCGCACCTGCACGCAAACTCTGACCCATGCGTACAGACTTTTTTTAAAGAAAAGTTATGAAGTAAACAACGATTTTAAACTATTTAAATATTACATATTCCACTCTCATTAATGGAGATAAGCACTGAAATTACATAAAGTCATTACGCAGAAGTTAAACCAAAATGATATGAATTTAGATAGCCTATTTGTAGTGGATGCGCTTGATCACTTTCCCTGTAGTATGTTATGTTTTAAAGGGGTCATATGATGCGATTTCAAGCTTTCCTTTCTCTTTGGAGTGTTACAAGCTGATTGTGCATAGATAAGAGCCCTGAAGTTGCAAAGACTAAGAGGAGGTAATTCTGACTTTGCTATGACAATCTGACGCTTCTGAATCAGTATTCAGAGTTTTGTGCATCGAGTGTGTGTGTGCGCGAGAGAGAGAGACACATCACAGTGGAGTCAGCTGTCTTAACAGTGGCTTGTGTACTGCAAACACATACCAGCTTCATCACTGTGTCTGTCACGCGACTCTGTTCCCCTTTCGGGCTTGAACTGATGGTAAAACTAGTGACATTATTTACTGTCTTTACATTTATTTTGAAAGCTGACGGTCGCGATTATGGTAAGGGGCGTTACATTTCCGACAAGTGCTTGCGGTGTTCGACCAATCACAAAGCACTGGGTCAGCTGGCCAATCAGAGCAGACTGCGCTTGTCGGAAGGAGGGACTTTGTAGAAAGCAAAGCGTTTGAGAGAGGCAGGGCATAGAGGACCTACAATAATGTACAGTATTTGAAAAATAATGTGTTTTTTGAACATTAAAGCATGTCAACATATTCTGTTACACCAAATACACAAAATAATGATCTTTAAAAAAGCATCATATGACCCCTTTAATGACAGCGAGGAGTGCTATAGGTGCAGAATAATTCATCTTTAAACTAAACTGCACATCTGATGTTATGAGAAAATATTTTTAGCGAGAACAATGATCAATGATGCGAACTTACTTCGATATTGTGGCGGACACTGCTGGATTCGGTGGAACGGTCTATTGTCCGGTTTGAATAGGACCAATGACAATAGCTTACTGTACAACCACAGCTGCACGGAAGTGTTGATGTCATGTGAAGGCATCTCCACAACATTATGAAAAAATACCACTGTATTTGAAGGATACAACTTGAAGAAAACCGTAAGATTTGCACGTTTCCTTTTTAAAATACATTGTCAATGACAGATAATGAGACAAATAATTGAATTTACACTGCAATAAATATAGGCCTATATTTTTCCACTATAAATAGCTAAAAGATGTTCACCTTATCAACAAAACTGCATTAATTTAATAAAAAAAAAAACAACTGAAATAGTATTTGGTCAGTGGAAATGAATGAGATCTACTCTATTCTAAATTATTTTTCTGATAACTATTTTAAACAGTTTTTTTTTTGATATTTTGGATATTTCTTATATTGAAACATAAGGATACTGGATGATTTTTAGCAATAAACATGTATGTGTATGGCACAAATGGCATTTATAGTCCCTGTCTCATATTTACTTAATGTCTTGTACCTTTGACGGTGTTAAACATGGTGTCGCATGGATGGGAATATGCATGAAAATTATATGCAGATGAGGTTATGCATAGTAAAACTAGGCACTGTAAGCTCCATATATAGTAATATACATTTTCTTACAACGGTGTTAAACATGGTGTCGCATGGATGGGAATATGCATGAAAATTATATGCAGATGAGGTTATGCATAGTAAAACTAGGCACTGTAAGCTCCATATATAGTAATATACATTTTCTTACAATCACTCAAAGACATCATTGCTAATATTAAACCATCTTTTTGTCCTCATGACATACATCCAAAAAATTTTTAATTAATTACTGACACTGTTGGGCCAGGTTTGGTGTCTTTTTTCAATAAGTGCCTTTTAACTGGCTCTGTTCCTGCTACTCTTAAAGTGGCTACTGTCACTCTGCCTCTCAAGAAGCCTTCACTAGATCCTTCTATTCTGAATAACTTCCATCCCATTTCTGTTTTACCATTTATTTCAAAGGTTTTAGAAAGAATTGTGTTTGACCAACTGCAGTTCTTTCTGAATCTTAACTGTATTACTGACATTTTTCAATCTGGTTTTAAATCTGCTCATAGTACTGAAACGGCACTTCTCAGAGTGTTAAACAATATCCTTTTAGCTACCAACTCTCGTGATTCTGTGGTCCTGGATCTGTTAGATTTATCAGCAGCATGTGATACTGTGGACAACGCTATTTTGATATCTAGATTAGAGTCAAACGTGAGCCTAAAAGGTACAGTCCTTAAGTGGTTTCAGTCATTTTTATCTGACAGAAATTTATTTGTCAAACTAGGTAACTTCTCTTCCTCTGTTGCTCCTCTCACCTATGGCCTCCCTCGAGGCTCGATATTGGCGCCCTCCCTTTTTTCCCTGTACATGGTTCCTCTGAGTTCCATTCTAAGAAGGCATGGGGTGTCTTTTCATTTCTACACTGACGATACCCAGATTTATTTACCTATTAAGAGAAATGATCCTTCAGCACTTAGTACTTTACTAAGGTGCTTAGACGAGGTCAAAATCTGGCTAGCTCAAAAAAAATTGTAATGTTAAATGAAGATAAAACAGAGGTGATTGTTTTCAGTCCTACTGATAATTCTCAGGCTACCAGCCTTGATCTGGGCAGCTTATCGGCCTTCAGATCTTCTCGTGTGTGAAATCTGGGTGTCCATCTTGATGAGTCATTAAAATTGGACAAACATATCTCTTCTGTAACTAGTTCCAGTTTTTACCAAAGCCGCTTGCTGTCTAAAATCAAACACTTTTTAAATGTTACGACGTTAGAGATGGCTGTCCATGCTTTTATTACTTCACGCTTAGATTACTGCAACTCACTATATTGCGGTATTTCAAAGTCACAAATTACTTGCCTACAATTGGTCCAAAACGCTGCTGCTAGATTTCTTCAAAATAGTCACAATTGTGACCACATTACCTCTATACTGAGGGCCCTCCATTGGCTGCCTATTCAATTTAGAATCGATTTTAAATTTCTCTTACTGGTGTATACATTTTTTCATAACCAGGCCCCTAGTTATCTCTAAGAGCTGTTGCATTTTTATACTCCCTCTAGAAGTCTAAGATCCAGTGATCAGAATCTCCTTTTAGCTCCTCAGTCCAGACTTAAATGTAGAGGGGATCGAGCTTTTTCTATGGTTGGGCCTCGGTTATGGAACAATCTGTCGCATTGAGATTAGAGTGGCACCTTCCCTATCCATTTTTAAGTCACTTTTAAAAACACACTTGTTTGATCTGGCCTACTAATATCCCATTCTTATTACATTGTATTATGGTATTAATTATTACTCTGTCTTCAGAATGTTTATCTGTCATTCCTTTGCTTTTAAATTCATATGTTTTATTATTTCTGTTTTACTGTATGTGTTTATAGTTTGATTTTAATGTACAGCACTGTTTATAAATGTGCTTTATAAATAAATGAACTTGAACTTGATGGTGATTTCAGGGAGGAGTCAGGGTGGAGATGCATGTACGCACAATCTTCCCCTGACTGGGATTTATAAAGGGATTTTTGCGCAGGTTCTGTCAATCTAGCTTTTGAGCGTACGTACACTTTTAGGATGAAATCTACGGAGAGTTTTATAAATCCCCAAATAAATTTATAAAGACCCCAGATTATTATACATGTTTCTCTTTACTCATTATCATATTCCATTTCAGTTTAAAGTTTAATTTGGTTTTTCAAGGTGTCAGAAAAGGTGTGTTTTTGAAATTATTATCCTGGCTTTTTTTTTTTTTCATAAAAGAATAGGAAGTAGGGTTGTCAAGCTCCAAGAAAGCCAAACAAACAAAAAAAAAAAATAAAAAAAATGAACATAGGTACTGGAACAGTTGTCTATACTATTTGCATATTACAGTATAGTCCAAATCCTCTGCAGACATTCAGTAGCTTTCAAATCTTGCACATTCAAATATGGTATGCTGATTATCCACACAAGAACCAAAGTGTGTATAGATAACTTTTATAGCATGACGGATTCAGTTCCTTTTCACTTGTATGGAAAAGTGGGTATGATGACAGAGCTTTCATTTTGATTGAAATATTTCAAAATAACTACTTCATTCTAGTCCTGTTCATGCTGTTATTTAAATGCTTGAACATTAGCTTGTCCAGATTACATTAATCAAACACTGTTTTCTCCTTTGATATTGCATTTTGGATTATGACAAATGTTCAAGAAAAATGCATTGCTTGAACATGAACTGACATTTGAAACATGCATTTATTTAAAGCTGCTTTGAAACAATATGTATCATTTATTTTATTTTATCTTATTTTATATTTTGTAAACTACTTACAAACTTGTTGACTCATATTTTGTCTGTCTTTAGTTTGCAGGAAAAAACACAGTTGATATTATTCCAAAGATACTAAGAAGTTCCTATGAAGCTCTTCCTGAGACCTTCTCTCAGGATCTTCATCAGCTGGTGAGAGACACACTTCAGAAGGATCCAGCGAACCGCCCGTCTGTCAGTGAGATCTTGATGAGGCCTTTTATCATTAAACACCTTTATGAAAAGGTGAGTTACTTTATTAAAATGTTCAATTTTTTCAAATTTTTTTTTTTTGCTGTAGTCTCCTAAAGTCATAAAGTAACAATGTTTCAGACACTGGCACTGATGGTAATGACATTATACAAAGCACTGGACCGTCAAACAAGGATATCAATTTCTTTAAACTTATTTTTTTCAGAGCACACAAACTATTAAAGAGCTTAATGTGCGTAAAAAGTCTAAAGACAGTCAAGAGACACCTAATGAGTCTGAAGACAGTCAAGAGACCCCTAATGAGTCTGAAAGCCAGGAGAAAACCAATGAGTCTCAAGTCAGTCTAAAGGTACTGGAAGAGCTGGCCGACGGTTTGGAGAGAGTCCACTACAACACAACCGTCAGCAGTCTCACAGGAGGAGTAATAGGTTTGGCTGGAGGAATCACCTCTTTAGTTGGATTTATTCTCACTCTTTTCACTTTCGGAGCCTCTCTGATAGTAACAGGAGTGGGAATCGGTGTTGCAGTAGCTGGTGGTGTAACAGCTGGTGTCAGCAACATAACAAAGATGGTGAACCAGAGTTCAAACCGCCAAAAGATCAAAATGCTCATTACGCAGCTACAAGAAAAAATTACCTCCACAAGCTGCTGCATCCAAAACATCCAAATAGCAGTGGAAATGCAACAAAGAGAGATATCTAAAAGCAATCAATTAGGGTCCAATGCACAGTCTGGGGCAGATGTGTGGGCAAGTGCTGGAGTTCGACTTGGGCGAGGACTGGGAGGGATTTCGGAGCTTGTCCGTTTAGCTGAAGTCGCCAGTGTTGGTAAAGTTGCAGCTCAGGCTGCAAGAACTGTACGTGTGGCTGAAGCAGCTACAGGGGTTTTGTCTACACTTTTTGTAGCTGTTGACATCTTTTTTATTGCCCTTGACTCCAGAGAAATTCACAAACTCTGCAGAGATCATACTTCAATAGCGACTCAACAAGAATCAACCGATACAGAGTCTAAAAGCAGTCAAACCCCTGACAGTGAATCAGAGCACAGTGACACACAAAATCAGCCATCACCAAACAAAAATGAGCAAGAGCTGCGGTCTCTCATTCCTCTAGCATGTCGCACCACCTAGTGTTCCCGGACGATGCTGACCCAGGTGTGCTGCAGGAACTGCGCACTGCGACGGACCTCGCGCTTAGGGCGACGAAAGTCACGGCGCAGGCCCTGGGTCAGACGATTTCCACATTGGTGGTCCAGGAGCGCCACCTATGGCTGACCTTGGCGGATATGAGGGAGGCCGACAAGCATCGCTTCCTGGCCTCCCCGATCTCCCAGGCCGGCCTATTCGGCGAAGCGGTGGAGGGCTTTGCCCAACAGTTGTCCGCCGCGCAGAAGCAGATGGAGGCGTTTCGACACATCCTGCCCCGGCGGTCTGCTGCTGTCTCCACCCCACCGCCGGCTG